CTTCCAATGCTACTGGTAGAAGGTCTTTCTGACTTCATCAAGTCGTGAAGGACTAGAAATGGATCAGACACTTTTGAGAAAAAAGTATTAGAAGTAACATAGAGAGAGCCTAAAATCCTGAGGTCATATCATAAATTTTTTGAAGAACTGTGACCAAAGACTCACAAGAAATCCAATCCATAGTATCTGGAGTCTCAACACTCAAATCAACTGCATAACTGGTTACATTCTCCTCATAGGCTTCAAAAACCTTTTCATTAGATAAAACTGACTTTAGCATTAGGTATGTGGAATTCCACCTAGTTGGAACATCAAGGTGTACTCCACATTTAGCTTCCACCCCAATTAAGTCAGATATGTCCTTAAACTTTTGAAGCCTATCAGGAGAATTCCTAACATACTTAACTGCTTCCCTAACCCTAGATAGAGAAGTATCAACTTGTTTTAAACCATCTTGAACTTCCAAGTTTAGAATGTGGGCAATACACCTCATGTGAAGCTATTGGACTTTAAAAGAAGAGGCACTCCAACATAATAATTTTTTCTTGAAGAAGCCTACATCTGTATCATTACCGCTTGCATTATCAACAGTAACAGTAAAGATGTTTCTTTAGCCCCCACTCTAAAAGGCAGTTCTCAAGAGCCTTAACAATGTACTCCCCTTTGTGAGAGGTAACTTGGACAAAGGAAATGATCTTCTTCTGAAGCTTCCGCTGATGGTCTATGTAATGAGCAGTAATACACATGTACTTGATCATCTATACAGAGGTCCATGTGTCAGTAGTAATAATTACCCTTTGTGTTATCTCCATAAACAACTTTTTCAAATTCATCTTCTCATCTAAGTAGATTTGGTAAATGTCCCTTGCATGGTCCACCCAGAAGGGATCTTAAATCTAGGGCAAGCTATGGATACAAACTTTTTAAAACCCTAGCTCTCAACAATCCTAAAAGGAATCTCATCAATTATATGCATTTCTGCAAGAGCTCTTCTAATTGCAGTTTGGTTAAACACCCAGATTCCTAAAATGAGTGTTCTTCACTAGGACTATCACCCGTGGTTGGTTGGAAGGTTAAGATGGCTTGCCTAGTGTCCTTAAAATGAGTGTTCTTCAGATAGCTGAGCATGTGGTTTCTTATAGATGAGGTGCCATGTTTTTTTTTGAATGACAACAATATAATCTTGCACAATATATGCATTTCCCTTTAACAAGAACCCCCTTTTTATCATAAATCTTTACAAAGTGTTCCCATATCTTGGACCTAGATTCAACCTGCTTCCTCTTTTGGCAAAAAACAACAGCTATATCAGTTTGTTGAGTGGTATCATTATTCTCTACAATGGGAGCTTCAACTGCAGGTTCCTGGCTTAGGGGAGGTTCACCAGATATAGGCATTGTAATCTTGACCATCCATCTATATAAGTAAATAAGCAATCAAGTTCACATAGGTAAATTAGGCTTCCACCCTTGAGCTTCCATATTTTTGTCAACACAGATGGATGAGGGTCAATTTTTATTCTTTAAGTTCATGAGGATGAAGTATGGAACAATCAGTAAGCTGATTTACAGAAGAAGTTAGGTAGTTGGCTTAATTCTTCCCTACAGACTTAGAAGAACGAATTGACTCTTACTACTCCTTTGAGTCTTAGAGTCACAAAGGTAGTTTCTTTTATATGCAACAAATAATAGAGGCTTCAACTGTTTACCTTTAAAAATACACAGCAGGGCTAAGCATGAGGCTCCATACCTCCATCATCATTCTTATATGCACATATAAACATAAGTCATATACCTTTCTCATATGCATACTGAAACACAAGGCAGTGACGCTCCATCATCATTCACATATGCATATTCAAACATAAGGCATACTATTTTAAGAATTCATAATAAGCCCGAGGCCCCAAATCATAAGTCGAGGCATGCGTATAAGTCCTTGCACAATACATTTTGTGTATCCCCTTTCAGCATTAAAAGCGGCGGGGGGGGGGGGGGGGGATAGAGGCTACGCCGCATTGTTGGACTACTTGATAGTCCACCCCTTGAGGAGTAAGTCTTCACACTTACCGAGTGAGTGTGGGGATGAACCTCCCTAAAAAGTGGTACTTGCCACGAGGTTGCACTACTTGACGGTCCTGACCTTGAGAGCACCTCTCGCTTCCGACCAACGTCGAGGTCTCGTACGAATCCTGCAAAGTCGGTCTCTCACATGATCCTCACGGTCCGGAAGGAGGCGGCTCTCTAAATTACTGGCGCAAGACGGATAGTCCGGAATTAAAGTCCGACTGCATACAAAATATCATTACAAAATCAAGCCGATCTTGTGTGAAGACCTCGCAACAACAAGTACAACTGCTCGGCCAACTTTCGAATCCCACCAGAGCAACAGAGCCTGCTTTCGAGGTTCTGTTTACAAATAAAAGATAATCTTATCATGACCGGCTGTCTTGATCATTTCCCGATCATCTTTATTTGATGTTTCGGCCTTCTTATCATGATCGATTTTCTCTGTCATTTCCAGGTCATCTTTATTTAATGGCCCGATTTATTTATTATGATCAATTAATTTGGTGATTTCCCGATCATCTTTATTTGATGACCTGATTTATTTATTATGACCGGCTCACCTCATGGGTGCCGACTCGATTTATTTTCGGTCATCTTTATTTGATGACTTGGTCTATTTATTATAGTCGATTAACTCGATTGATTCCAGGTCATCTTTATTTGATGACATGGTCTTTTCATTATGACAGATTAAGGTCCATCTCTTTATCATCTTTATTTGATGACTGGATCTATTACTTGATGCTGATTGTTGGTTGATTAGCTCGACCCACCTTCCAACCACCTCTATCTGATAACCTGATTTTCATATTTTGATGAATTTAATCTATCTATCATCTTTGTTCGATGACAGGGACCTCATATTGTCAGATGAGTCTGAACTTGACATGGCCAAGGCTGAGCATGATTTGGCCGTGGCCGAGCCTGACATATACGAGGCTACACTCTTTGTCTAACATGACTTGTTGAACATTTTATATTTTGATTATTTTGTAGGTACAACTAAATGAAAAATGTGTACTCCTTTTCACCTCGTCTCCACTCGCCTCAAGGAGTGATGGATTGGGGGACTTATTATCTTCAAGTAAGCAAAGATGAGCTGTCACAAGAGATGGTCGAGGCCAAGCTCATACCCGATGACGCTGAGCTCATTCCTGTCGGCGCCAAGCTTGAGCTCAGTCCTGCCGAGCCTGAGCTCTTTCTTGCCAAACCCGAGGTCATTCCTGTCGAGCTCGAGGTCAATCCTGTCGAGCTTGAGCTCACTCATGCCGACGCCGAGCTCACTCCTACCGAGCCTGAGCTCATACCAGACGATGTCGAGCTCATACCCAACGATGTCGAGCTCATACCAGACGAGCATGGATCATGACACACTTAGCATCAGAGAAGACCGGTCTCAGTCATCCCCCTCATGGATGACAATCGTTGCTTATTCAAAGACCGGTCCAGGTCATCCTCCTGTGATCGCCTCTCAGCTCTGCAGAATATGCACTTTCCCCCTACACCCACTTCGAGGGCGGTGCACTCTTTTTCCTCGGCTAGGAATTTTTTCCCACAGGGTTTTTTCCTAGCGGAGGGTTTTTAACGAGGCATCACCTCATCGCGGGCAAGGGCGGAGAGGCTTTCCACACCGAGCAAGGCATAATGAGCGACGTCGGTAGTTCAAAGAGCATTTGGGCTACTCCCTTTCACCTCGAAGTCTTCTCGCCTTAGGGAGTGGGGGGACTCATGATGGATATATTATCCAGGACCGGAGGTACACGAGATGATGTATTTCTTGTATTGGGCCTAGCCCGTTCTTTGTATCGACCCAACATCATTTTGTGCGCCCGAGTGTCCTGTTTATATTCAATGTATTCCTTGTATTGAGCCTAGCCCGTTGTTCCCTAGATCAGCCTGATTCTCCTTATAAATAGTCCATGTTGTAACCCTGGAGAGAGAGAGAGAGAGAGGAGATTGATGGATTCTGGCTAAACTCTTGATCTCCCTAACTTTGTTATCTCTCCATCTTCTCTCTAGATCTAGGAATATAGATCATCAATATGTTTTATAAAACACATTGACAAATTTAAGAGAGCTTAAGTTAGTTTTAAATAGAACATAACGAATATATTATAGTTCTAAGTTTTTTAGAATACATGAATGAATCTAGAAGCTGGTGCAGGATGAATCTGTAGCTGAGAGCAGGTTATTGACAAATTAAAAAACCTACAAAACAATCAAATACTTTGATTAAAAAATACTATTTATAATCAAAGTATCAAAATATATCAAAGAATAAAATAAAAATGAAATTCACACTAAAAATGAATTTGTAAACTTAACTGGTCATTTGAAATTGATCCCTTTTCTTTTGATTCATGATGTTGGGCGATTTTCACGGAATAGAATGAATAATTTAGGTGTTATGGCAATTGGTCTAGATGGGGAAAAGATGTGAATTTGAAAGAAAATTGGCTGTCTTGGAGGCGTGAGCGGGTGTTGTGGCAATGATATTCCATTCCGGCAAACACCTGCTTCTCAGACTTACCGACCTCAAGCCGTCGCTACGCCATTCCCTTGCATCTTCCCTCAAGTCGTCGGTACGCCATTTCTCTGTTGGGACGGAAGAAAGAGATATCAAAGATTTGCAACCACAGAAGTAAAGAGATTGGCACAAAGAAAATTAGGAAGGGGAGGGTGATATATTTTAGTGAACGGTGGAGATCATTTTTTATTGAAGTGTGCGATTACATTGGATTTTAAATCAAATAATAAGTTTTCTTTCAATGAAAAATAAGAATGAATTTGATACATTGTATCTAAGATCTAATGACTCTAAATATGTCAAAAATATATTTAAATATATAAGAAATCATGACATTTTTGTAAATGAAGAAATCAAAGTATTTATTTTTTATAAAAATGGATATCAGATTATTTTTCAATGCAATTGTGCACCAATTTTTTGAAAGCAGGCCTCATTTCCCCTCTTTCGGATATACTCCGGAGTATACACACCTTTGCGCTCTATTGCACGCCTGAGAAACGGACTCTCCACCGCCATCACAACGGAAAGAAGATTCTTCACCCGTCTAACAATCTAAACAATGGTAAGAAGTCATCACCTTCCCTGCGATCTTATTTTCGTAACTTTCTGTCAGATCTATGATTCTCCGTTCCAGCTTAGTCGATCGCACTGCTCGCTTCTTGTGTAATGAAGCTAATTGATTAAAGTTTGTGTTGTTCCAGATCCATTTTGTGCTTCTAATTAGTCGACAGGGAAAAGTGAGGCTGACAAAATGGTATTCCCCGTATTCCCAGAAAGAGAGAACTAAGGTAGTTCTTCATATCATTTTATAGCTTTGGTTGTTGATGGCCTTTCTAGGTATGAACGGATACATTTATCTATTTCTGGTTGTTTATGGGATAATGAGTGGTTTGAGTATATGACATGCTTAATCCTTTGTAGCTATATTGGTTTCGCTTTGATTTTTGGAGTCAGGAGTCTGCGTGTATGAGTTTTGTGTAGGGTTGCGGGTCTTTTCACTTGAACTTCTTTGATGGACATGAGTACATTTGAGTTTTGCCTTCTTATTCCTGTTTTCAGATGTTGATAATGTGCAAGTTTGTTAGCTAGAAATATGTTTCAAGTTTAATACTCCGTAATACTTTTCCGTTGGGTTTATGACATTGTAATCATCTGTGGGTGAAAATTTATTCAAAGGTGATTCGTGAACTAAGCGGCTTGATACTAACACGGGGCCCAAAGCTTTGCAATTTTGTAGAGTGGAAAGGGTTCAGAGTTGTTTATAAAAGGTACATTTCTTCCATATGTTCTTCTTAGAGCCCCTTGCTTTTGGTAGTTTTATCTCTCTCACCTTTTGGGTAGTAAGGCCCCACAGAGGGGTTATCAGATTAACAAGCGAAATTCTTTTGTTCTGTATTTGACAGATATGCCAGTCTATATTTCTGCATGTGCATTGATCAGGATGATAATGAATTGGAGACATTGGAGATTATTCATCACTTTGTTGAGATATTAGACAGATACTTTGGAAGTGTGAGTGAGATTTAATTGCTTTTACCTAGAAGACTTATCAGTTCAGTCTGCCATCTTATGTTTTGAGTTTCATACTTAGGGAGCTTCTATTTATTTAGGTATGTGAGCTGGATCTCATATTTAATTTTCACAAGGTATGATCTCTAAATTTGATTTATTCTGATTTTTTCAAGTAACTTTCATTTTTGCTATGAAGGTTATATGAAAAAATGCTGAGAGTTTTTATGCTTAGCTTTACAGCAACTGTTGGTATTGACTACACTGCTTAGCACTCTCAAACAAATATTGTGTGCACCTTTTTGTATCTACCTTTTTGTTTGCATAAAAAATTTGGTTCCCAAAAATTGGATTTGCAGGCATATTATGTACTGGATGAAGTTTTGATTGCTGGTGAGCTCCAAGAGTCGAGCAAAAAAACTGTTGCACGCCTGATTGCAGCTCAGGTAAAGCTAGTTTTAGTGCTATATGTAATGTATGTGTGTGAGACATTTGCAACTTCAGCCTTCCTTCTCAACATGCAGGATTCTTTGGTGGAGGCTGCCAAAGAGCAAGCAAGCTCCATAAGTAACATCATTGCACAGGCTACCAAATGATGTTCTTACTATATGTTGCAAACTCTGAGCGTTTGTGTTTTCTTTTGTTTTCCCTCACAAATTTTAACTCGGTTCAGTTATTCATGTTTTGATTAGTTGCGAGGGATAGTGCTATTATAACTATTCATATTTTTGTAAATTGTGCCAACTTTGTGAATCTACCTTGAGGAAAGTTTCATACAGTAACAAAACCATGAATGTGCTCTAAACACGGATTATAATACTCCAATCTTGATTGATACTCCGTATTTGCTTTTGTAAGGGTCTCAATATTGTTTGAACTTCTTGATATTTTCGTAATTCTGTTCAAGTATTCTAAACTGTAACACTGTAAAGTATTTCCACAAATTCTAAGCATCAATGTTTCTGCAATTTTTCGATATTGTGAATTGCACAACTACCAATATTCTCATGTATGCGTTTCATGTTTTCACATTATTTAGTGCATGTATGAAATGGACTTATTTTATACGTGGCATCTGCATCTGAGTTTGCTACATGTTATTCTTGTATACAAACTGCAACCAAGTGTAAAGTATAAGTTAAGTTAGACATTCTGCTGTTACATTGGCTGTAGACAAATTGCAGTTTAATTGCTAAGTCCACTGTTCATTACTACACATAAACTATATGAAGGTTATCTTAATTAACTCAAATATTCATTTCGGCCATCTAGTTTTTTCCCATGTATTTATTCTGCATAATTTTTTTGTGCAAAATTAACGAACCCTTACCTTATATTATGTTCGGTTTTTTGAACAAATGATTGCAATTTTCAAATCAACACAATTTGATGCAGAGAAATGATTTTTTTTTTATACTTTATTTGGCTAATAAAAATGAAAAATTCTTTTTTTCCTAATCAACTCACATGTAAACATGAGACGTGGCTTTGCTTTCCTGCCCAACTTGAAAATGAGTAAACTCAGGGTCAAAATTAGGATGTTTTTATTTGGACCGTAATTTGGTGGTCTGGTCTGGTTTCTTTGTATTTTTATAACTATCCAAGTCTGGTCTGGGAGGAATTACAGTTCAAGTAAAAACATCCTTACGCTACAATTCCCAATTGCATCTATTGATTTGAAGATCAATCTAGAGTAGAGATGGACTCGGGCTGGGCCCGGGCGGGCTTTTTTTGGTATGTTAAGACTCGGAATCGGCCCGGGTAGCTACTGGGTCGGGCCGGGTTGGGTCAGATAACTTTTTTTTATTTATTTCCTAATTACTTCCCACCCCAAACCCCTCCAAAATACCCAGCTCAACCATTTACCTCCCAAAGAATTTGAAAAACCAAAAAATAATGGCCTGGCCCGGGCAGTTTCATTTTTTGGAGACCCAGAGCCCACTCCAAGAATATCCTGTTCGGGCCGGTTTCAGGCTGGTTGACTAGGAAGTGTCATCTATGCGGTAGTCTCTCATTCAATAAATTGTGTCAATTGTCAAATAAATAAAAGACTTTCTCTTATCTATGGGTTGCTTTTTCCACTCGGAGATTTTGACGTTGGTAAGGCAACAAAGGGCGATGACAAAGAAATTTAGAAAGCTTATGCAAGATTGCAAGAGTTTGACAATATAAAAGGATTCAAAGGGTGTGATTTAAACCTATCTGACCATATCAGATCAAACTTAAACATATCAGATCACATGACCGGTCCGAGAAAACGGAGGCCCTGTGCAACAATAAAATTTGGGCCTTTTTTCAAGTTTAAACGCAAGCAAATTGTCTTACAATACAAGTTACTAATAAACGTAATAATTGAAATGAAAAAAGTCATTAATAACTTACAATTTATTTAAAAAGAGACATTCTTCAAGCATATTTAGATGCGAAGTCATCTACCAAACTTGCAATGTCAATCTCCTCGAGTGTTTCAGATTCTATGGATATCAACGTCAATCCAGTGAGTCTCTCTTGTGACATAGTTGACCGCAAGTAGGACTTCAACAACTTCAACTTGGAAAAACTTCGTTCTGCCGAGGCCACTCTAATCGGAATGGTTAGCAAAACTCTGTACGCAATAAAGGCATTTGGAAAACAATTCATTTCTTTTAAAGAATTCAAAAGAATTGGGTTAACTCCTCAAGTCTTCTTTTCCTTTGACGCTTTTCATGACCGGATTGGTATTTATATGGAAACATAATTATTACCAGTTATTGAAATTTTCCTATAATCTTGTACATGTTTATAATTTTTAAATTAATATTCAGTTTAAAATTAGGGTGAAAGCATGAATGACTATAGTACTATACTAGTGTATAATTATAATTTATCAACCTCAAGTTACCAATTTATCAACATGAAGTTATCAATTTTAATTGCTAAACACATTTACAAAATTACACATTTATTATCAATTCAAATAATGATTTACTTTAAATGCAAAACATCAACATAACAACAACACAACAATTCAACAAACATTAAATCTGAAAATAAACAAATTACAAGATTTCAACAAACAATTCATCAATTCAAATATTCAATAAATCGAAAGTTCACAAGAATTAGCAAATTAGCAACTAAATGAATAAAAGAATTAGCAAATTAGCAACTGACCGGAAGGAGGGCGTCTGAGGGAGGCCGGAGGGCGGCAGAGGCGGTCAGCTGCGGGCTGCTGCGGAGTGAGGTGTGCGTTCAGCATTCGAGTCGTGGAGAGCAGGAGAGGCCCAAGGCCCGAGGGGATGTCGGACTGCGCAGGGCCGGCAGGGGATTTGGGGCCGTCGGTTGTGGAGAGGCGCCGGTGGTGTGCGTTAGAGGCTGGAGTCGTCGCCGCGTCGGTTGTGGTCCTGTGGAGAGGCGCTGAGGCGGTGTCGCTTTGTCGTGAAGAGCAGCGAGCAGCCGAGCAGGAGAAGGGAGGATTTGCCGAATTGAGGCCTGGGGAAATTAATTTGGGCTAAAAATTATGGGCTGGGGGTAATACTAATTTTTTTTTGGGCCCTCCAAAATACCGGGTCCTGTGCGGTTGGGCTGGACAGACAGGCCCAGGGCCGGCCCTGTCAGATCAGACCAGACTTAAACAAACCAAATCAGACCAGTCTCGGACAATTATAAAATGCACAGAGACACGAAATGACACACAACAACAGATAAAACAATACGAAGAATGGTGAGTTTAACTACAGGACTAAAAGTCTTAGAAAAATGCACACCAGTTTAGTGAGTAAATCCTTGTGCTACCAGACATGCCTTATAATGCTCAAGTGACCCATCAAAATTAAATTTGGTTTTATAAATTCATTTAGACCTGACCACATTTTTACGTGAATTAAATGGAACTAAATCTCAAGTATGATTATCAATAAGTGCATTAAATTCCTCTATCTTAGCAGTTCTCCATTTAGCATCTTTATTAGCCACATAAAAACAAAGATCACATGCTAAAGTGTATGTTTTGAGATTAAAAATAGACTAGTATCTCACCCGTGCGTTGCACGGGATTTAACCTTTATGTGTTGTAAATGCAAATAAACAAACACATTTATGAAAATATATTTCACCTGTGCATTGCACGGGATGTAATTTATAAGTATTATAAAAGTTAATTATAAACACATTTATGAATCTATTATAGAATTAAAATAAAAGTTATAACACAGAAACATCTTAGCCTTAGTCCCAATAGAAGTTATAGCACAAATGCGTAAAATCATAAATAAACAATAATAAATTTTAATAAATACCCACTTTAAAAGTTTTTTGCAATTTAGATTTCTTTCATCGTCACATATCAAAAAAGTTTAGCCCATCAAATTTCTGATTGAGGAAAGTGAAAATACATCTATCAATATATAAAAATAGGATGGCATAAGAAAGTTGCATTTGGGCAATATTTATTCATCTAAGTGTGGGATGGAATCATTGCTAGGAGAATATCAATATTTACGCATCTTTTAAAATGCGTATAATGCTTGAAATGCAAAAAAAAAAAAGACTGAACCAGCTAGTCCGGTCCAAAAACGCAGGTCGGGACAGTCACCCGTGAGCTTCCCCCGAGGTCATCTACAAGACTCCAACCCTAACCGCCCAAAATAGTCCCGATACTGGGAATTGACCTGTTCCAGTTACGACCGGTCCACCCTTAAGGAAGGGATGACATTTTAATGGTTATACATAAATGTACACTTTAAAACTGAAGTAGATACTAATCGATATAAAAAATGCTGATAATAAAGTATCTCCTCTTTATTTAGTTTCTTTGTAATCTGCTTTAATTGCTGGTAAAATATTGAAATGCATTTTAGGATAACTAATCGATATAAAAATGCTGATAATTGTATGACAATATTCACACCTAATTAAAATAATTTTACCTAAGCAAGAAACACTTAATATGTCAAAATAACATCATAAAAATATCCAGCTGATAGTAAATATTAGTTTAGAGAATCATGTGAATGACAGTGATAAATCCACTTTGAGAGTTTACGTGGTATTTGAGTTTGTAATAGTTTTTTGGATAAATTAATACAGTTAACATGTGAAAATTCCTTTGGTCTCATTAACCAAATTCCCAAACAAAAACTGAAAGAAAAGCAAAGGAAAAAGCAGAGTTGATTTTTTTAAAAGCAGAGTTTAGGTTAGAAACAAAAAAGGAAGATATAACAAAGTGTATGTTGCAATGTCCAGATTGAAGACAACCTTGAAAACAACCTCGGGATATACATGAAAATAAATTGAGCATATGGGCCCATATAAACTGTAAAAGACTCCATCTTTGAACCAATCACAACCCCTAGGTATAAAACTTGGAATTAGTAAAAATAAAATAGTGACAATATTCCAGTATATGTAAAATAGGTAAGGAGTTAATAAGAATAGCAAACAACAGAAAAAGCAATAAAAGATTGTGAAAAGAGCAAGTTCGGGATAGCTTAATGAAAACCACAATCTAAAAATAACTTGAATCGTAAATAAAAAAGGGTCATAAGTAATAAGTATCAATATATCTGACAAATATGTTTGTACCGGAATAATGTTTGCTGCATAAATATCAGGAATCAAATAGATAAATACATGTGTACAACATAATAGGATGTCATGAAATTTGAATAAGTATAAAGGTGGACTTCTGTGATACCTCAGGATAGTAAACAAGTATAATCTCTTTTGAAATTATTTAAAGCCTTCAACCTCTGTGCAGATCAATATTTTTAAAAGTGTAGTCTCTTTTGAAATTATTTAAAGTCTTCAACCTCTGTGCAGAACAATATTTTTTCTTTATATGTGTTTCTACACAACAGAAAGAAGATTAGAGCATTTTCCTTTGGTATGGAGGACCTTCCATTCAATATTAAAAGAATCAAAGAACATATATCAACTTGAGTCATCAGGCAGTATTTTCCTTTTAAGCAACCTTTTGAAAAAAGAGATTTAGAACTTCTGAATTTGACTTTTAAGCGTCAAAACAATCA